AGGAATGACTTCGTGTTACTGGGTGCCCACGTTCAGTTTGGGACTGCAGGGTGGGGTGGGGGGTTTGTATTTCACCAGTATGTTAAAATACAGCCTGTGTTCTGTGTGCAGGAGCAGTTCCTAGTCCCAGATCACACTATCAAAGACATCAGTGGTGCTTCCTTTGCTGGTTTCTATTACATCTGCTTCCAGAAGTCAGCAGCATCTATAGAGGGCTATTACTACCATAGGAGTTCAGAATGGTAAGGCAGCTTCCTTCCCTCTCTGGGCTGAAGGGTGGCTCCTCAAAGCAAGCAGTGACTGCTTGTCTGCAGCTTTGGGAGTGTCCAGGCACTGCTTCCTGGGCTGGGGAAGAGGCTCAGGCTGGTGGCTGGCCCTTGGGGCAGAAGGGAGGGGGGGTGTGCCACGCTTGGTCAGTGCCACCCATTTGTGTGGTGTAAAGTGCTGCACAGTGGGGAAAATGGTGCTGGGGAGCTGAGCAGGGGAGCTGGGAGGTCTGGAGAAGTGCTGGGGCACAGTGAAGCAATGGTCTGCTGTGTCTGTGAGGTACCTGGGGGCAGACACCAGCTGTGGGTCACTGGAGGGATTCCTCCAGAAGCCTGGTCTCCAGGACAGTCCAGTTCTCCTGGTCTCCAGGCACTGGCAGGGCTTGGCCTGTTCCTGCCCTCCTGTGGGGACAGGCACACGTGGGGCAGCCTGGCCTCGAGTGCAGCGTTGTGCTCCCTCAGTTTGTGCTTTGCCAAGTGATTTGGGCTTGGAGCTTCTCCATGCCTTGGCCAGAGGGTGTTGAGGGGACCCTTCAAGAGCAAGTTCAGTCCTTTTTCACCTGCAAGGGCTCAGCTCTTGCTCCCTTCAGGCAGAAATCTTGTTAGGCCAGTGCTTTGTAGTCCAAGGTCCTTGGGGCGTTGCTGTAAGACAAGGGAACAGTCGAAGTTAATCGGTTGCTTTCTTGTCAGAGCCACCACCACCTGACAAGTAGCTGTGGAGAGCTTTGTTCCCTCTGACAGCCTTGGAGATTTGTCAGGCACAGCAGATGAACCTGCAGGGTGGCTGGAAGCTCTCAGGGGGAGGGAAGGTACCTGGGAGGCTTTCAGACAAATCCCCTTGAGATAAGCTTTGAAAGACCCGAGTGTAATTTGCACTTGTGGCAAACACCATTTGAACATGAAAGCTGTTGCACTTCAGAAGGTGTCCAGAAGCCACAGTCAGCCCACCTCAATCACAGCCTATCTCAGAGGCATGGGGATGGAAGTGAGGAGCAATGCCAAGTCCTCATGGGGTTCTGGCAGCAGGGGTGTGAGTGTTCGGTGCCTGAACACCTCTGAGACTTCACCTGGAGACTGGGAAGGGGAGGAGAAGAGCTGATCACCAGGATGTCTGCTCTGTGACCTGCCGAGCAGAGGCTGCTGGTGCTCAGGGAGTTCTGTTGCACGCTGTGATCCTCTCATCCATCTTTTCCCCCCCTCTCCCAGGTATCAGTCATTGAATTTAACTCACGTTCCTGAGCACAGCGCTCCTATCTACGAATTCCGATGACAAGCTGTCCAGAACTGGTACCACACAGAAGCAAAGAGGGCAGGGGAGCATGGCCTGCCAGGAGAACTGTGTCCCTGTGGGAGACTGGGAATGCACGCTCCTCTCCTGCCCCTCGGACTCGCCAGAGAGAGCCTGAATGTCAACCCACCCAGCCCAAGGAGCGTGGCTGCTGGAGCTTCATTCTCCCTCCTGTCGAGTGGCGATTTGATCTTTAATCCAGTTTTAAGCTACCTTTAAATGCACTTTCTTATTGCACAGCTAGTTTCTCTATCACTGAAGTTCCTCCCGGCTCTCCTCTGGAAGCTGTTTCTCAGTAGCTGGAATCAGTGGCCTGTCCTCTGAGTCATAAGAAAACAGAAGCCCAGGGCTTGTCTTTCCCTTGTTACAGCCTGACGTGGGTTGGAGTCGCCAGGACTCGGGTTTGGTGCCCAGATCACCAGCTCTGACGGGCCCGGAGCAGGGTCCCGTGCGTGAGGCTTCAGCTGCAGAGTGTTGGGGGAGTGTTGGCTGGGATGGAGGAGGCTTGGAGGAGGCTTGGACGAGTCTTTGCTTCGTGCTGCCCGAGGAGGTGAGCCGGAGCCGCGGAGCTTTCCGGAACGCCAGCCCTTTGGAGCTGGGAGCTGTTCCAGTGTCTGGATACACCGCTGGGAATGAATGGGATGTATGGACTTCCAGGCTCTCAGTAAAGTGGATCTGAACTCTGCTTATAGGTGTATATTTGCTCTTTACTTAAGTTAAGGGTAAAAAAAAAAAGAAAAAAAAAAAAAAAGACAAAAAAAAAAGACTTTTATTAAAAAAAAAAAATATCTATTTTTATGGTTCCTTTTCCAAAGGACCCTATGGCAAATGCACAAGTACTCGATTACATTTTACTGTTTTCACATTGAAAACCAGGGATGTCTGTGTTGGATTTTCTACCCGTGTGTGTGACCAGCTCGCTGCTTTGGGCCGGGAATCGCGGCGCAGGGACAGCTCCAGGACTGGGCAGCGCCTGCACTCGCTCTTCCTGCTTCACCCACACCTCTGCTTCATGAGGAAAAGGCAAAAAAAACCCCACCCCAACAACCCCCACCCCAGTAGCTTGCTGATTTTGCCATGTTTCCAGCGACATAACTTAAGGCTTGTGTGCCAAAGTGTGTGTGTGTGTACGTGCGGGTGGGTTTTGTTTCTTTTCTTTTTAAAGATGTTTTAAAAGTTGGCCTGGGTTGTGTATTTCATGTTGCAGTCCCGCTGCGGGGCTTTTGGGAGAGTTCAGGTTGGAGTTTTTCTGGCTGTTTTCAAACGAATCCCCTTCAAGCAGCTCGTGGATGGGTTTGCTGCCGGGGAGAGGAAAGCAAAGCTTGCGCGTGGCCCGGTGCTGAGGCTGGTTGGGTTTTCTTCTTCTTTTTAATCGACTTTCTTCCTTTTGGCTGCCTGTCTGTCTGTTTTCTCGCAGCCCAGTTGCTGGTTTAAGCCTTAATGAGAAAGTATTTGGGTCTTGGTGAGCCCATTTCCTCTCTTCCAAGTGGGGATCTCGTGTGATGGGAGAAGCGGCCGGGCTGGTCTCAGGAGGCGATGCGGAAATCGCCCGCCTCGTGCACGCTGTTTTCCAGGGATGGATCCTCCTCCCCGGCACAAACGGGGAGAGACCCGTGTGTGGGAGGAGAGGGGGACGTGGCCCTTGTCTGTGCTGCTGTAGGTGGATTTGTAGAGTAGTGGGAGGGTGATTGGAGGTGCTGAGGGAGCGTGGCTGCAAGCAGAGAAGCGAGCAGAAGTTGAGATTCCCATTTTATCCTGCTCCTCTCAGAGAAACTCATCCCCTTTTCAGTGGGGAGAGGGGTTTCCTCATGGGCAGTGCTGGGAGAGGTCCTGGTGCTGCTCTGCTGTGACCAAGGGTGGGGGTGGAGCCTCCTCCTGGGTGCTGTGTGGGTGCAGGGACCCTGCTCCCCTGGGCTGCCCGTGCCAGCCTGACCCTTGAGTTTCTGACAGGGTTTTGCTGATTAACGTTGTGGTTGTTGGCAGAAGCTGGGTTAGGAATGGTTCTGGGGTGGTTTAATATGCATAACTACCCCAAAAAATCTCTTAAAGTTTTTCTTTGAGACTCAATACATTGTGAGAAGAGTGGGGAAGGAGCATCCTGCTGACTGCCTGTCTCCTTCCTACCGTCCAGAAGCCAATTTTGGCTGAAAACCAAAACTGCTGGGGTGGTGCTGTGGTGTGGGGCAGGTCGTGGAGCCGAGAGATTGGCAGGGGCTGTCGGTGTTCAGAGCTTCCCTCCTCTAGAGCCTTTGTTTTGGTTTTCTCCTCCTGTGACCTGCTGGATGAGCTGGGGGGATGATCCGTACGTGGAGGTGCGGTGAGAGGAACTGCTGGGGGGGTGGAGGTGAGGAGTGGGGTGTTTGGTCTGGGCAGAGGTTGTGATGTCTCTTTTTAAAGGTGCTGGCTGCAGGAGGGGGGGTGTGCGGAGCGGGGGCTTTGTGGAGCCATCAATGTCCAAATTAAAGATGAAATGTATTCATGGGGCTTGTGTCCATGTGTGTTTGTCAACTGACGGGCTTCTCAGATCCAGGGGAGAGCTGTGCTTTGCCTGCCTCCTTGAGGCTTTTCTCCAATAAGCTTCTGATTGCCTAAAATAAAGAATCTGGCCTTAATTAGTGGAGCAGGAGGGTGCAAGGTCCTGTGTGGGGGGCTCCTGGAACCCACTGAGTTCTGTAGAGCTTGCCCTACAAGCAGGTCCTGTTACCCCCCTCCTTCACCTCATTTATATCCCCAAAACGAGCAGTGGGGCTGGTTCTGTTCTGTATCTTTGGCAATGGTCTGAACA